ATATATACATGTAACTATTTTAAATTATTAATAAAGATATAAGCAAGGCCTCACCTTAATACCAAAAAAAAAAAATATATAATATAATTCTTATTTTCAAATATTATTAAATAAAATTTTATTTAAATATTTTAAAATTTAAAAAATGTAGATCATAAGCATATTTTTAACAATTTTTTAGACAAATTTGCCTGAAAAAACTTATAAATTAAGGGATAAAATAAACTTAAAAAAATAAAAAAAATAAAATTTTATTACAAGTATTATACAAAACATTATTTAAAAAATAAAAAAATAAATATATAGAAAGATGTTAATAAAAGAATTAATTATAATAGAAATAAAAAAAAAATTTGATCAACTACTAAATAAATAAGTAACAAGAAAATATTTAGATATAATAACAAAAACAGTATAAAATACTTTCTATAATTAAATATAAAAAATCCAATATGAAAAAGTACAAAATAAAAAAAAGAAACTAATATAACAAATAAGATTAAGAAAAATACTTAATCAAAAGAAAATTAAACAAAAAGAAAGGACAAAATAATAAAAATAAAAAAAAAGATAATGAAAAAAAAAAAACAAGAAAAAATAGAAAAAACAAAGTAACTAAAAAAAAAGCTTGAAAAATAATTGATATGCTTGTCACAGAAAAAGAAAGACTTTTCTAATATAATTTTAAATATTTAAACAAACAGTTTATTTCTAATTAAAATAATATGATAAATTGTACTTAAAGTACTATTATAGCAACTAAGTAATTTTAGACTTAGATATTAGAAAATTCTATATAATTATATATATTTAGTTTCAAAATTTTTAATAAAATACTAGTTTAACTGATTAAAACAAAAAAAATTTTTATCATATTAGATATTTTTTTATAATATAAATATAATTTAAAAATTTTTTAAATTTAAAACAATAAAATATGATAACTTAATAAAGTAGATAAGTTGTTAACTTCTCAAGTAATAGGTTAAGTGTTCAAATCCTATTGATGACAAAAATTTAAATAATCATATATAATATTTGTATTGTAGCAACTATTTCTAATAATTAAATTAAGATAACTATAATAATAATCATATCAACATAATTGGAACATCTATATAACTAGTAATACAGAAAAATACAAACCAGTATTAGATAATATAAATTTTAAATAAATTCTTGTGACTATGTAAATCTATTAAAATTAGGAAACAAAAAATTTATTTAGAAAAACTCAAATATAAAAATAGTACAGATTTTAATAATGTTACTGTAAAGACTAAACCTAGTAAATAAATATCAATATTATAATATTCAGATAAACAAAAATTTTTGAATTAAAAGTTTTAGAAATACAGAATAGACTGAAGAAAAAGAATATTAAACTAACTTAATATATTAATGAACTGGTCATAATCTTATATAAGTTATTTAGATTAAAAATCTAATAAAATGACAATAATATACTAAAGTATTAAAGATATATTATAAAGTAAATGTTAGAATTTAAGTGAATTCTATAAGAATATAGCAATTAAATGATATAACTCTGACTGCAAATGTTGGTTCTAATATAATAATACCAAATTAACTGTAAAAATGAATACAGAAGGCTCTAAAAAGTTTATATCAAAAATAAAATAGTTCTAAGATTAAGATAATGACCTGAATATGACTTAATAATGTTAACACAGATGCAAGTTCAGAGAGTTTAAAATAAAACATCCAAACAGAGGTGTTAAGTATGACAATTGGTAGGAAACATTCAAGCAGACTCCTTAAATAGGTAATATAGAAAAGTTACACATGTAACCAATTGTACATTCTTCCTGTAATAATTTATAGAATCACATTACCAAAAAAGTCATTAATAAAAATCAAAAGACCAAAGAAGTTACCTTAACATTAAAAAAAAAGATTTAAAACATCTAATTCTATATATAATAAAGTTTCTACTTATACATTAATATAATAAAAAAAAAAAAATATATATATATATTTGAATATTTTCGATATATAAAATATTATTGAAATATTATAATACATTTTGCATAAATTTTCCCAGACCATTAGCGAATTCCGCAGTTTTTACAAGTCACTCTCGTTATAGTGAAGTAATCCGTTCCATTAATAAAAATTCATTGTACCGAGAGTAGATTCATTGTACCGAGAGTAAATTCATTATATCAAGAGAATTTTATGTAAACTGGTTTTGAGCTTAACTTCACTATCGAAATTTTAATTAGTCTTTACTGTATCGAGAGTTCACTAGTACGATTTTTCTTAGATACGGAGATCAAGTTGTTTGCTTACGTGTGACCATTTCATTACAAGGAAGTATTGTAACGTACTTCCTTACTTGGACGGTCCCTGCTAAAAATAATTAGATAAATAGAATAAACCGGAGTGTCAACTTTAACGTTAGCGTTAGAGTTAGGGCGTTCATATCATTTCATTTTTGAATAGACGCATTAGGAAATTGCCAGAAGAGCTCCGGACTGCCATAAATGTTAAAATGTTTGGGAACTATCTATAATGTTAACCTTATCAGGTACCCTTGTATTGGTTGTTTACTCTTTATTCATGTGAAAATCTATAAAAACCTCGCGTTTACAACGTCTTCCATATGAAACATGAATGCAATTGTGTCTCTCGTGCACTTTTGCGAAGCTGACGGCCCTAGCGTGATATTTTGTACTCAAGCTTTTCACGATAACGCTGCAGAAGACGTTGAGGAATGTCTTTCCGCTAGCAATGGCAGGAGTTCACCAGTTCCTGCCCGAACTATCCTAGAAAAAGAAAATGGCACTCTTTCTAATAAAAAGGATTTGTTGAATGCCGTTAGATCAGGGCCAGCTTCTTGTGCTTCTTGTGCCTTTTCGTTGCCACCTCCTGACACTTTAGGTGATATAAAAGTGCTTAACTATTCTGAAAAAAAGGGTTTCAAAACTGAGGATGACGAAAACCCTTTAATCACGTATGTTGGTTCTCGATATCCACAACATCCGCAGTTATATTCTGCGGTGCGACAAGCATGTGTCAGAAGGTAATATTTAATTGATTAACTTTCAATTGTTGATAAATTGATGATAAACTTGATAAATCCTAAATATTTAATAAATACATATAGCTTAAGTTGTGAATTCTGCCAAGGTAGAGAGGGTCCTGTGTTATTTGGTGATGATAAAAATGGCTATGTCCTTAGTTATATGTTCAAGATTAGGGATAGTCAAGCCAGAGGATTTCAGCGATTGTATAGTTTTATTTTCTTGATGACTGATCGTATATATTTGGTTGCTTCTTGGCCATTCCTTGTTAGGTAATCTATTTTCTTCTTTTTTACATTTTTTTTTTTCAACAATTAGATTAAATTCATATAAATTTTTTAGTAAATTTAAATCATTGGCGACTGATCTTCAACTGAAGGCTAGTCAAATATTTGAGAAGGAAGGCTCCACACTCTCACCTTCATCACCAGGTTTGTATTACTATATTCAATATAAGTAACCATAATAAGTTCAATTAATACAGGTAGTCATATTATCATAATTTTTTTAAAAGATCAATATCTTAGACGTAGAACGAATCAACCTTTGAGGTCATTAGTAGATTTACTAAAGACAAAGGTTTGTTATTTTATTATTATTATTATTTAAAAAAGTCACTTTATTTATTCATTTTTCTAATCTCGCACATTAAACAGGATTTGTTTGTTTATATTCACGCTAATTTCAGTTGGATTCTGAAAGCCTGTGGCAGACGCTTGCAAGAAAAGCACGTAAATGATCAGACATTGGTAAATTTAAATAATATATATAATCAAACAAAAAGATCGTATCCTCAATTAAATAATTTAATTATAAATTTTATCATCAGTTCCCCAATACATCTTTTCTTTCACAGCATTCAGTGTTCCATACCCCTACTGAGAGTAATGTGGATAATAAAATCCCCTCTAATTCAATGAAGGAATCAAGCACCTGGATTGAAAATTTGAAATCTTTACAAGACATGTTGGGTGTTGTGAATTTTAGGAAATTGATTTTAAATTTTATTAGAGGCAACCAATTAATCATTTGTGGTTCAGATTCGAAGATTATTAAATCTATTGTTTCAATAATTAAAGTAAATTTCACACATCTTAATAACTTTCTATAACATTATTACTAATTGACGTATTCCTTTATTAGGATTTAGTGTCAAATGGTTGTTCGGTGATGGAAAATGGGACTGACTACCAGCCGATAACAAAATGTAATATATTGTGTATACCTACATCCACAAAAATACCTAGCGAAGTGGATAGATCGACATTTTGTTTATTGCATATCCTTTTTTCTTATTATTAGCTACTGTTGTGCACATCATTTGAAATATAGATGAATTTCCTTAACATATTCTTACATATATATAATATTCCATCCAAAGATGAAGATAGCAACAAGACAATTAGATTCAACTTAGAAAATGGCATTGACGAACATACCATTGGAATTGTAAATGTCAACAAATCTTATTCACCGCCTAATTTATACATCAACCAATTATCTGAAATATTGAACCTTAATTTATCTCCCGAACTAATGAATATGCGATTAGAAATGTTTAAAGAAGAATGGTCAAGGTAATGCCAATTATATAACTTTCTTAAGGGATGTTATATGTCTAGTCTTAGACTAATTGTCCACAGTTAGTCTTAAGATCAGTCTGGACTAACAAACCTTAAGACTATAGATCATGGTAGACCAGACCAGGATTGGACCATATTAGACAAGATTGGGCTGTTAACATCCTTAACTTTCTTATTTTAATTAATGAAATAACTTAAATGATGTTCTTGTCCTTGGAATATAGCAAAGTGAAACAATATCTTAGATTTATCATAGATGGAGATAACATAGATCCCGGCGTTGATAAACCTGTCAATGGTCTTATAATCAGTAATTCGCTTAGACAACTGGAACTGATTAGATATCTAGACGTTAATGAAATTGATCTGCCCACTTTGAAATTTTTATCAGATTGTTTAAAAAATGCTTAAAGACAGAATGTGCAAGATTTGTAAAATATTTAGAATACATTTGAATTAGGGATTGGAACTGTTTAGTCACTTAAAAATTGTTCCGCAGTTCTGGTTGAATTATGTTGGTCATGGAATAGATTTATTTAATTTTGGCTAAATTAAATGGTTAAACGATATGAGAAAATTTCAGGTGGATTCACCAATTTCTAATTATTATTACTTTGTAGAGCACTTTTCTAGACGCATTTAGATATTTAATAGAATTACAATAGTCATTTACGTAGACATTTTATTCTCAAAACCACGTGATTAGTGTTTGGAACCGATTTTATTTTTCATGAAAAATAAAACCGGATCCAAACTCTACACGTGATCATTAGTTTAAATGATTTTGACTAGGGATATCGATATAGGCTAACTTTCTTCTGATTAGTCAATTACTTAAATTTGTATTTATACAGTTTAGAGTACTTTTTAAGAATGTAACATTTCGCAAATGAAAAATAAGCATTAAGATCGTCTTCATAATAAAGCGCCAACAGTTATATGCAATATAATCCAAAAAGATTTACAGTAGAACTATATTACTAAATAGTCGAATGTATTTGACTAGGTAAAAAAAAGAAAAAAAAAACTAACCGAACAAACAAATGTTTCAGACTTTTTTTTTTTTACAGACTCGGACATATAAAAGCAACCTTTTTTAACCCTGATTTAATTTATGATTGATTTACTGCGCTTTTCAAATAGCATGTATGTATCACATCAATTAGAAATTAGAAATAATTTTTAGTCAATCATGTACAGTGATTTATCAAATAAGTATAAGAATATCATGAAATTTGTTTTGTCGGAGCAAATGATTGGCTGACATGTGCCGCGTAGCGACACGTTTCAGCCAATCATTTGCCCCAACAGAACAAATTTTATGATATTTATCATCGCATGATCCAATATCGATGTTATCGTGCAAATATGATCATGATTTACGAGTCGTGGTTGGCTAACTAAGTTTTAATGTGGGATTGTTGTGCTTACGTGATAACGTACAAAAAATAACAAGAAGAAAAAAATCTATGATCATATGAGCTTGCACGATAAGTGTGGATATTTTTTTTAAAAATTTTGTATAAAGTCAAACAAATAAAATATTAAGTTAATAATAAAATCATAAATTTATTAATCTATATTTTAAAATAAAAAAAAGATTATAAAATTCTATACAATATTTTTTAAAATAATTAAAATTGTATAATATTGTATAATGTTTTTTTTTTTTTAAAAAAAAAGTAAGAATGTAGTAACTTAGTAGAATGGATAAGTTGTCAACCTTTCAAGTAGCATATTGCAAGTTCAAAACCTACTGATGACAAAATTTGAATTTTTATTTATATTATGATAACTGTTTTCAATAATTGGGTTAAGATATTTGTAATTATAATCATATTAGCAATGACTAACAGATTATAAAACATTTGCATAACTAGTTATATAAAGAAATACAAACTAATATCAGGTGATGCAAATCTAAGATAAGTTCTTGTGATCATGTAAATCTATAAAAATTAGAAAACAAGAAGCTTATTTAAAAAAACTCAAGTAGAAAAATAGTATAAATTTTTAATTATATTACTGTAAAGATTAGTTTTATAAAACTAATACTAATATAAAGAAACTAAATAGACAAGAAACTCTAATAAAAGGTATTATCAACTAGGTTATTAAAATTAGATTAAAGAAAAAGAATATTAGGTTAATCTAATATACTAATAAATTAATTATAGTTCTATTAAACTATTTGAATTGAGAGTTTGAAAACAAAAGCAAAATATACAAAGTATTTTAGATATATTAGTTCAGTTATAGTGATACTAAGTTAACTATAAAATAGGTATATAAAAAGTTCTAAATAATTTATTTTAAGAATAAAATAGTTTTAAGTTTGAGATAAAGACTTAAATATAACTTAATAAAATTAATATAGGTTGCAAGTTTAGAAAGTTTAAAATAGAATATTCAAGTAAAAGTATTAGATATAGCAAGTAATAGAAAATTTTTGAATAGACTTTTTAAATAGATAATATAAAAAAGTTATATATGTAATTAATTATATATTTTTTATAATAGTTCTATATAAAATATATTACTAAAAATATTAATAAAAGTTAAAAAAAAAAGATGTAACAACCTAGTGAAGTGGTCAGGTTGTCAATTCTCCAGTAATAGTTTGGGTATTTAAATCTTATTGATAGTAAAAATTTGAATAATTACTTATATAATATTTGTATTATAACAATTGTTATTAATAATTAGGTTAGGATATCTGTAATAGTGATTACACTAGCATAACTGGCAGATCATAAAACATTTATATAACTTATTATACAGAAAAATGCAACCTGACAAATTAGGTAGTACAAATACTAGATAAGTTCTTATGATTATATAAATCTGTTGAAATTAGATAACAAAAAGTTTATTTGAAAAGTCCTAAGTAAAAAGGTAGCCAGATCTTTGATAACTTTACTATAAAGACTAGTTTAGAAAAACAAATATCAAGGTTATAGTATCTAGTTATAGTAGCTAAACAGACAAGAATCTTTAGATTGGAAGTTTCAAAGATACTACCAACCAGGCTGCCAGAATAAATCAAAAAAAAAATATCAGGCCAATCTGATATACTGATAGACTAGTTATAGTTCTATATAGGCTATCTGAATTGAAAGTTTAGTAAAAAGGCTGAACAAAAGACAAGAATATATTAAAGTACTGAGATTATGCTATAAAGTAAATGCTGGAATCTATATAAACTTTACAAAAACATAGTAATTAAATAATATAACTCTAATCACAAGTGTTGGTTCTGTTATAGCAATATCTAAATTAGCTATAAAAATAGATACAGAAGGCTCTAAGAGATTTACTTCAAGGATAAATTAGTTCTAAGGTTAAGACAATGATCTGAGCATCTAAATATGATTTAGTGAGTTAATACAAATTATAGATTTAGAAAATTTAAAATAAAACATCCAAGCAAGAATATTAGATATGGCAATTGATAAAAAACCTTTGGGCAGACTTCTTAAATAAGTAATATAGAAAAGTCATATATGTAGTCAATTGTACTCTTTTTTGTAATGATTTATAGAATCATATTACCAATAAGTTATTAATAAAAGTCAAAAGACCAAAGAGGTCATCTTAACAAAATAAAAAATAAAAAATAAAAGTCAAAAAAACCAAAAAATTATTTTAAAAAAATAAAACAAATCAAATTATTAATTGTTTAACTAAATAAGATTTATTTGTTTTTTGTTTTTTTTATAATTAAAGTTTTTTTTTTTTTTAAATATTAAGGTAAGTACTTGCGACCCAGAATTTTATTAATAGTATATTTGGCTAATAATTGCATTACAACTACAAAAAAAAAACAACCATAGAGAAAATGTACAACTAGCCACTTATACAACTTTAGTTATTGTTTAATTTAAGTAGTCCACCCAAAGGTTCTACACTAGCTGCCATACCTGGAACCCACTTGTAGGTTCCCTATTTAACCACTCTGTTTCTATATCCACCTACCTATCTCTGCCTACCAATGACTCTGCTGATGCTGATGAAAATATGCCATGGTCATTAAGTCTTTAAAGCAGTTCACTCACATAGAAACCTTTGACCTTGTACTAAACCTTCCAGAATCTTCTGTATCTCATTCTTACAGCTGACCTGATATCACTATAGCCAAGACCAACACTAGCAGTTGGGGCATACTATTAAACCACTATGCCTATATAGAGTTTACCCCAACCCTGGTACTAATTTCACAACATATCCTTTTTATTTTGGTATTTAATTCAAGTTCTACCAAGCTACCATTCCAGATAGCTCAGAAAGGTAGTGTGAGACCATACCTCTGGTTTACATGTTTGCCAACATGTACCTTTTTTTTCCAGAACTCAGAAATTCTGATGGCCTAGTTGGTTCATCTGGTTTCTCCTCAAAGACAAGCATATTTGCCTGGTTTCACAAGTTCTAGCTCTATTTCATAAGTTTAGTCTTTACAGTAGCATCATCGAAGGTTCAAGTTACCTCTCTATTTGGGTCTTCCAAGTGGGCTTTCATCTTCCTATCTGGCTTCTGTGATTTACACAGCCTAAGAACTTATCTTAGATTCATACTACCTGGTACTGGTTTGTATTCCCTTGTACAATGTTGTATAAATGTCTAGACCTTTTAGTCATGCTAATATGATATAGATTACAGATATCTTATCCTAACCAATTACAGAAGACAGTTAGTCATAATACAAAAAGAATTACAAATTTTTACTGTTACTAAGATTTGAACTTTAGACTTGCCACTTGAAGGTTAACAACCTATCTATTTTATTAGGTTACCACACCTCAAAGTTTTTGTTTTTAAAAAATAATTTTTATTTATGTTTATATAAATACAAAAATCTTTAAGAGTTTTTTTATATAAAAGATTATAACTAGTTATATATATACTTTTAATATTTAATTTAAGTAGCTTACTTATATATTACTATATAGATTTTATATTAAAAATTATATTTGTAAACTAATTATAGATCTTGATTATTTATACTCTTTGCATTAGGATTAAATTAGTTTCAAAAAAGACTGGTTCAGACCAGTCTTTGGACTGAGACTGAAGATTTTTCAGTTTCTAATCTTAGACTAATTCAAACTGATTTAGATTGATTAATTAATAGTGAAAATTGAAAAATACAAACTACACAAGAATGATTTAATAATTAGCAAATAACTAACAAAAACATGACAAACTAATTAGTAAAAATAATTTATCATATACAACAACTCTCTCCAACGATCATTTGAACACAAAATCGGTAGAAAAAGAAATCAACTTTCTGCACTAACAGCAATAGATAACACTCTTGACAACACTAAGAAAAAGTAACAGCAACAAAGAAAGCAACAAATAAGCTTAGAAGCAAAA